GATATCCAAAAACCAAGCAAATCATCCAAAGCCGTAAAAATCTTAACAGGTGCTAATGTCGAACCATCCACAGTTAGTGGAAGCTACTCACTGCGCCAGAACGAAAGTATGAGAACACGCGATGATCCGTCGGGTTGCTGAGCATTAGCAAGTGCCGTCACACCATTAAGATGCTGTCGACGATCTTTTCATGAATTGACCGGAAGTACGAGGGTGAATTGTCGGCAAGGAATCAAGGTACGATTTTGCTGGCTGCTCTCGTTTGAGATTAGTCGAGCGCTTGCAAAAATTCCTCCTGAGAGACGCCGATATAACCACTTTTGGCTGCGAAACTGTTTATGTGACGTCGAGGTGCTGTGGTAGCTGCCACGCGCCGCAGTGGAAGACGTACAGTATCGGATCGAATAAGAGGAAGAATGAGGGAGTCTATGGTAGCTGTTGTTCTGTCAGCTATTTGACGTGACTTGCTCTGATATCATTGATGTCGCGAATGTGAATCCCACGGACATTATCAGTACGATATCAATTGATTATAGAAGCAGAAGTGTCGATGACTAGCTGGCCGAAATCTACTTAAGGCTAAAATCTAAGTATCTGCACTGCTCATTTTGTGATTCGCAATTTATCGCATCTGCAACATTTGAAAGAACTTGATGTACAGTCGTCCCTCGGATAACTAATAAAGGCGTGGTAAATAACTATGAGTTAGTCTAGGTTATAAGTTTTCAACCAGTTATGAGCTCGTACTTGGCTACCTACACATAATTACGCTTTGTGGAACAAACGTTTATTAGTTATACGAGGTTATGTTACCCGGAAATGAGTTATCCGAGGGACAACTGTATTTTAAACTAAACAGCCTTTACTGACAAATAGGAACGTGACAGTATAACATAAATGAGTTGAAGCTGCGTCACCCTCCTGGGAGGAGCTGCAGTGTCAGCTTTTGCGAGTGTTCTGGCCGCCCAGCATAATCCAGCGTATCGCATGAGATTGCGTTTCATTGCTCCTCGACAGGGCAGGAAGGAGATGGTTGACTTTGTTCAAGCGTTGAGAACTCTTACTGCCGGGATGGCAGCAGATCCTTTCCCCAAGGCGGTCGCAGTAACCGTCTTGATGGAGGGCCTCGGCACTGGGGTGGCCAGAATGGAAGTTTTCCATGTGCATCCGTCTTCTTTCGAAGAAGCGGTGAACGTCGTATTGAATA